TGTTGTTTACGAAGTTGAGAGGACGAAAAGCGAACTTCCTGCGCTTTAACCGGGTTTGTGGATATGCAGGATCCACCTAGGGGAGTTAGGAAACCCTGATTCCGAACGAATGGTGCACATAGGCTCATCTCTATTGTTAAATCCATGAAATGTATAGGTTAATGATATTTAGTGAGAATATTACTTTTCTATTGTTGATCATTGAATCTTGGATTTTAATTGAGAAACATGTGTAGCATAGTAATGTTTTACCGGTCTATGGAATTACGACAAGCACGAAACCAGGATTCAGACGTTTATTATTTCATTTGTTGATAACCGACATCCTTAATGTGGAGATTCAAATGAAAAATAAATACATATACGTTAAGTAATGGATATTATTATCCTATTTTTATAATCTACTGGCCTAAATCATAAGACTGCACACATCTTTTGTTGGACCAACTGATCAACCATAAGAAGTTAATAACATAAACTCTTCTGACACTAAATATGTACTGGTCACGAAAGCTTTACAACAGTAAAATTAGTCATTTTTATGCAATACATGTGTTTATCAAATAATTAACTGAATAAGAATGAGCTGATGACACAAACCGGACAATCTAATCATAGTTCAGTTGATTAGTTCACAGTAACGATAGTTCTGAATCGATCATTCAATTCAAACTCATTCGGTAATGATAACCATAACCGGGGCAAGGGAGGACTCGTGTCGACAACTTTCAGGTTAGTGGCTCATTGAGCATGAGATTTAACTGTTGATCGATATCCAATTGAGAATATATATATAAATATATATATATATATATAATTATTACAGTATCCACACTAATTTACAGGGTTGATCAGAGAGACGGGGGCTTGATATTTAGAGACCATAAAATACAAGTGTTCACGAATTTTTTTGATTTAACGTAGATAATGAATATTTAATATTGATGTAATTGTAAAATGGTATAATTTTCTTCACTATGCCAATTATTATTATTATTATTAATGAGACTAATAATAGTAATGGTAATGGTTATTAATAGTAGTACTCATAATCATATAAAATATTTTTATCCAAAGAAATGTCATTATTTTTCCTCTAATCTAAATGAAACATCACATTTAGCAAACGGGGGAAAAACAAATCTATAATACTGCTTGTCATTATTATTATTATTATTATTATTATCATTATTGCATAAAAAGTATACCGAATGAAATTAATTTTCTGTCATGGTATATTTTAATACTCATAATCTGTATCCGTTACAAACTCAGAATAAATGCATATATTGTCATCATTCTATAGGATTAGAAATATCATTCATAGACAAAGACAATTCACCGATAATTGAATGAATATTTTCTTGAAATTTTACATTTCATTACCAAATTAATTGTAAGTTTAACAAATCTAATGAACATTATATTCAATGAATAAAAGAAAAAAAACGGAACGTCTTTTCTTTTTTATTTAAATGAATGAGTAAAGGAACCGATAATTTATCAGGTTTAATGAATATCATAGAAACAATGGTGTAGTTGGAGAAAACACTGTCTTGTTTTTCTTTCTGTTCGGCAGAAAGATCAATAATAGATATTTTTCTAAAGAATATTTAAATTTGAAAGGGGGTTTGTTTTTGTTCTTTTTTTTTGTTTAAAGCATTAGAGTTTATATCTAATGACATAAGATTATAAATGGAGGGAAAATAAAATTGACATTTTATAATCGGGTTTATAAGAGAATTCGGCATATTTCTAGTTTAATTAAAATATAATAAGATGTGATTAAACTAGAATTTGGATACTTTGATTGGTTTTAGAATATTTTAGAAACATGTCGTTTAATTAAAGATTTTTAGTTACCTTAGTAATCAATAGTGTGTTACATATTTGTATAATGTTCAAGATTTCCGGGCATTTACCATTGTGGGCATAGAAGAGTATAATTGTCATTGAGGATTTCATTTCATGCATTTGAAGTTATCCATATCTGTCTATTATGAAGTTGTCAGTGTAGAGCATGAAATCTCCAATAAACTTATATTTATATGTGGCACTTATCCATTAAATGGATGGATAAGTGTTGAATATTGGACACTTATTGAACATAGAAAAACATATAGATAACCTCACATATCCATGGTTAATTTATTAATTCAAAATCACATCCTAATTATTATTTTTGATACCATATTGAAAAATAGTAAAAGGTTTTTCATAGTCAAGATGGGTTCAGAAAACACACTGAACTTGACAGTCACCTTTATTATGGATTGTTACTGATATTCAGGGCCGAATTTCAGTTATTCACTTTTGGTGTACTTAGATCGTGAATACTGTCAACGAACTGATACGAAGTCTTACATATGGTGAGAACATTATCCTCGTTGAACAAATTGTTGGTTATTTCAACTCCATTATCATTTGCTCATCACCAGGTATAGATCATTGTACTTCGGTTCGAGTTGTACTTTAAATGTGAGCGGTAGCTATACTATCCGATTACACAAACCGAAGTAGGTGGTGTGGTTTGCACCTACACAATAACCACTAAGAAACTTCCAAGAAGTTTCGAATAAGAACTAAGTTCGAATCCAAGTGTAGATATCAATACTGGAATGAAGGTAAATCCGGATAACAAGTCTCGGATAAAAAGAAACACTTCAACAAGCAAGGCAGTTATTGTTTTGAATAGTTCACCTTTAATAGATTAATCTTTATCATTTATATGGCATTTTGGGTATTTATTCAGAGTAAAATATGTTGGTCAATAATAAACATGAAAACAGAATATCACGGACTAAAATCGACTGATGGACTACAAGAAACTTACGCCTGCTACCCCTTGTGGAGGAGCAAAGGCCAACCATCAGTATTCTTCATCCAACTATATCATGAGCAATCCTTCCCAGTTGTGTCCAGTTGCTATTTATCCTTTTCGTGTTTACTGCCAATTCTTGACACAGTGTGTCTTTTAGCCTTTCTCCTTCCCGTATTTCTTCAGAATTATAAGTTAGCACTCGCTTCGTGGTGTAGTCTGATGATTTCCCCAATGTATGTCTTATCCACTTCCATCGTATTTTCCTAATTTCCTATTCAGCTGGAAGCTGGTTTGTTCTCTCCCATACTAGATTGTTGTTAATGATGTCCGGTCTAACAATCTGGAGTATTTTGTGTAGACAACTCTTCATAAATCCCTGTACTTATTGATGATGGTTGTGGTAGTTCTCGAAGTTTCAGCCCCGTACAGTAGAACTGACTTCACATTCGTATTAAAGATTCTGGCTTTTATATCGGTTGACAGTTGTTTCGAGTTCCATATATTCTTCAATTGTATGAACGCTGCCTTTGCTTTGCCAATTCATGCCTTTATATTTTCATCAAATTCTCCTTGTTTATTTATGATGATCCTCATGCACATAAAACTTTCCAACGCACACAAGAACCTAGCACATTTGAGCATCGATTCAAGTTGCCTTACTATATCAATACAGAAAGACGAAACTATCAAGACAAATGTTACAGTAGAATTAGTTACAGTATCACCGATAGTAGGAAACATTAGGGATAGACAATGTGATTCGATGAGGGATGATAAATTTGCCGAATAAACTGTATAAGATAAATTTAAAAAAGACAAAGGGTGAATCTATGTGTGATGCTGTGACCTATTCGGAATCATTTATTAATGATTTATTCATTTGAACATATAAACGTTAAAAATGAAGAATGTTTGAGCGAACAATTGTTTTCAATAACTGCATCGTCAGGCTCTACAGTTATAAGTCCATAATTATGATATTTTACAAAGGCCAGAAATAAGGCATGTATTAATGAATTTGGCAATGTTATGTGCTAAAAATGGTGAACTTTTGCATCTGTTACGATATATATACTTTAAAATTGTATTAAACATTGTATAAACATTAGTACAAGGAGGCACTAAATACATATGCGCCACAATTCGTCATTCGATTAGTGTGAGGACTGGATGCTGCCCGGGAGCCTAAACTGAAGCAGGTAGTTTCCTTAGGAGGCCACACCCCGAGCCTTTGACTAAGAGATCTGATCCACATGGTAGTGCGACAACGTTAGGAGACGCAGTCCCACGGTAGTCGGTGACCAACAATAGGTTCATATGCCATTTTTCCCTTCAGGACCCAGGAGCCTATGTGCACCATTCGTTTTGAATCAGTGTTTTCCAGCTTTCCTAGATGTATCTCCCATATCCACCAACCCGGTGGACATTCGCTGTCTGTCCTCTTAGTTTCGTAAACAACAGTAATGCTGCGAGAATTCATTGAGTAGGACTTCCCTGGCAGTGTTTGTATGCACGTGACCATGTGAGAGCATTTGGAGAGGGAGAGCTGACTCTCTCCACTCTCAGCCGTACCATGGCATTTGAAGGAATTATTTCACTTGAACTCTTGAATTGTTAGTTACAATAATCATGTGGACAATCAGGTAGCCTGTAACGACCAACATGGTTCAGTCCATTTGTTAATAACTTCATGAATAACTTGCTTACTAAATTATGTAAAAAATATTTTTAAAAATATCTATTCACAATGATTACTATTAGAATAAGTATTTGATTTCAAACACCTTATAAACTATTTAATGATACATTTTATTAAAATATAGTAAATATATTTGGTAAAATAGAGATAGGGTTATTGTAGATATTATAGTAATTTAACAGTTGAATTCATGAGTCAATTAAAGCTAGACCACCATGGAAAATCTGGATGCCAGCTCAGTGGTCTAGAGGTTAAGCGTCCGTACGCGAGACCGATAAGTCCTGGGTCCGAATATCGCGAGGCGGGATCGTTGATGTGCACTACTGAAGAGTTCCATACTATAACGAAACAACCATCCAGTGCTTCCAGTTCTTCCATGGTGGTCTAGCTTCAATTGACTCATGATCTCAACTACTGAAATATTATTGTTTGTTGTTTACCTCTTCAACTATTCAAAAGAGAAATCGATACTTTTTTTTTAAATATATAGGAAATTTTTTTTATAAATTAAATTTTGTACATACATTCCTAGTTAAATGTACCTTTAAATGATCACTACGTTTAAAACGTTTTAAACAAACATTACAACGAAAATTACGTTCACCAGTATGTGCACGTCTATGACGTGATAATTGATCAGCACGTGTAAATCTTGCACTACAACCAGGTTGATTACATAAATGTGGTTTAGCACCAGTATGTAAATGATAATGTTCATTTAAATGAGATCTTTTATAATATGCTTTTGTACAATTTGGATAAGTACACTTATAACGTTTTATACGTGTAATAGATGAATTTTCATTTATTATATAATTAGATTCTAATGTATTTTTATTTGATTGAAATAATATATTATTCTGATTAGTTGTATTATATGTAGTCAATGTTGATGAATAATTAGAATGAAGAAAAGAATTCAAATATAAAGTTTGTTGATAATGATTTGTTGTTAATAAGTAGCGTAGAATACATTGAGTAGCTACTCTAAGGTATACTAATGTTGGATCCGAAATATTATTATTACTATTATTATTATTATTATCATTATTATCATTATTATTGCTATGGTTATTATTAACTAACCAATCATTAATCCAATTTTGTATCTGGGGGTTTTGACGTTGTTGTAATATATTAACATTTAAATCCATAGGAAATAAATAAGAGATTAAATTTGAATAAAATTGACTATTATGTAATACAGTATTATGATTTAATTGTGAATTGACATTTAACAACGAATCCATAATAAATGAGTTTGAGCATAAAATATCCATTCGATTATTATTTATCATATAATTTAATAAATAATCAAGTAAATCCCTTCTATACAATAAATTTGTATGAAGAATATTATTTTGATTTGGAATTGTAGGATTTAACGATCCAGTGGTATTCATCTTATACAATATAGAACATTTAAAGATATATATATTTAGAATTAAGTCTTCCTAATAGCTGAAGTATTTTCTTTGACCTTGAATACATTCGATAAGTTAATTATGTGGTCATTTTACATTCTCATCTATTAGTATAGCTAATAATGAACAAAATACTTGGGGGTGGTGTATCCTTATTAATTTTACACTTGACATTTATTGAAAATATAATTTTAACACAAATAACCTATTCGCTATTTCTCACCCACTATTAATAAAATCCACTCTTCTGATTGGTTGATTCTAGGTCAATATATCTATATATAACATTGAATATGTCTACTTTATTTCTAATTCAAAGGGATGATGGTACCATTTTCATTTGTATTCTAGCCATAGAATAAAATGGCTTTTATATAGGGGAGGGGGGGGGAACCAACCAAACAAAACACATCCCATTAAAATTGAAACTATTGGTTACTTTTATAATTGTGGAGATAATTTTGATTGTACACAAATATGTTGAATCGGAAATGATAATATATTGTTTTGTGTTTAGAAATTTTGCATTTGGAAAAGAACAACGAAATATAGCCTAATTTGACAATTATCTGTGTTTGTAGAGATTTTAGAAATTTTCACAGATTGAAACCGTGAGTCAGTTGAAGCTAGACCATCATTGAAAACCTGGAAGCACTGGACGGCCGTTTCGTCCTAATATGGGACTCCTCAGCAGTGCGCATCCACGATCCCGCACCCCCGCGGGATTCGAACCCAGAACCTACTGGCTTCGCGCGCGAGCACTTAACCATTAGACCACTGAACCAGGTCTGTTGTGAGATATCAGCTCACTAAAGGCAATGGTATATGGTGGTGCAACTTCGTGGATTGGCTGAAGTTAGACATTAACACCGTTGGGTGGTAAACGTTTATTTTGTAAATGATCATTCATAATGAGAATTAGAAAACGTTAGATTTCAATGCGGTGAATTTTAAAATCCATTGAAACGGTTTATCGTTTTCACTTGTAAATTATTTGCAGTTCTGCATTTTAAAATTAATTTTTTGGTCGCAATAAAAACTAGTGTGTTTAATCAGTCATGTGTGAATATTGTTAACCGTAATATGAAACCTGCAATGTCTAGACATTACGAATGTAACCATTTTTGACAAGCATTTGAAATATCAGTTTCATGAAGTGTAAATGAACAAACCTACGTCGTCTGACTGACTCAACAATTATCTATCGACATTAAACGTATAAATATGAATAAGGTCAACTGTATCAATGAACATTTACAATGTTATTATTATTTATTGTCCTTATGATCATTATTATTATTATCTCAATTGATAAGATTCAATTCTCATACTATGTATTTCATTGACACAAAATTTATTGCATTTTCAATTTTCCTATAATGCTCAGTCACTTATTGTGACTGAACACTTTACTGCAAATAATCCAGACCATTATTAAATGACCTTTCTAATTTGCAAATATTACAATTTGTGTTAACAATGGTGAACGTTTACATCTGTTACGACATATATATATATAGTAATTAGCTTTCGATTAACCCATTAAATACTGTTGTATGGTTTACTAATCTTAATATGTTACCAACTTATTATCACAGCCACTTTAGCTTGATGATGCATAATTGTTCTTTTTTCGTTTCATGGTGTGATATGGTCTGGTTTGCTTGTAAATTAAATCTCTTTGAAATACAAATATGGTCGAGGTTGGTTTCTGACTTTTGGACTCAACAGGTCACAGAGAGAGGAGATAGAAAATTATGGACCAGGAAGGATTCGGCAGTTGACTCAAGGTTACTAGTACTGGTTGGACTTGTTATTAGTCAACTCAGATATACTAGGTCATAAAAATCGGGATTCTGATTGGATGGTTCGTCATGCGATATTGGCCAGTGGTCATAAGACAATAGTTGTAAACCCCAACTTGTGAGGCATATGAGTCGTTTAACTTACCAATGTATATGAAATGAAAACTGCTTCGTGGAATAATTACATAAAGACTGTTTCCAACATACGACAGTGTAAATAAAAACGAACATCTGTGTGTAGTCAACAATCGAAACGGGAGCTAAGCGCACAAAATACAATGACTGTTACATGTGAATAAAGATTCAGCTACAATGTAGGACCAGGCACATATGTGCATCGGTTCAAGTCGCCATGCCTTATTAGCATAAGATAAACACCAAATTCATAGAAGTAATTACTTCAATGATTGTAATATATAAAAGAAAGATTGTGTATAAGGATATAGCACAGGAAGAAAGAATTAGTTGGTAGAAGAAAAGGTATAAATTAATTTTATTCTCATAGTTTAAGGGAAGACAGAAAGTTTATACACCTACGCCATTTTGATCGATTCTGAGCCATGTTATCAAGAGTATCCAACCATTGGTTACGATTGTCACGCGGACCCCAACCAAGTAGTCTGTATCTACCAACATGAATCAGACTAGAAGTTAGTAACTTCAAGCACTGATGCCGCGTTTTGGTTTGGCTGCCCCTAACTTTCTTCCAGCTGTTTCCAACACCAGTCAACATTTGCACGTCGTGGTAATCGGTGTTCAGGCATACGTAACACGTGGCCCAACCATCGCAGTCGATGAGGATTCATAAAATCATCAACTGGTTTACCATCATTCCCTAATATCCTGTGTCTAACCTCACTATTACTGACCCGATGATACCAGCAGATGCGAGCAACATTTCCATGACATCTGTGACTAGATATCAGTAACTTGCGAGTACCTTCTACTCTTAATGACCATGTTTCGCAGCCGTAAAGTAGAACAGAACGAACTGCTGCGCGATATACTCAGCCCTTATTTGATATACGGATATCTCGCCTTCGCCATAGGTGATGTTAGTTGGCAAAATCCAGACGAACTTTTCGAATCCGTACAGAAATTTAGTTGGACACCAACCTATTAGGGCTGATCAAACTTCCAAGACAAGTGAGAAACAGTCGTAAACATTACCAGGTTACAATTACATTTAATAAGTATACAGAATGCTACAAATTTGTGCAAATGCTTAGAGGTGATGCACAGCAATTGAACATTATTCTCCACATTTCCAAAATGTTAGAGAATTAGCTACTGAATATTATTAAGTAGCATAGTTTAACACTCAAAGAATTATCGAATAGGAAGGTAAGTTCACTAGACAAGATTAACGTAGGATAACGCCAAGGAAAAGACATTCTTCTTTGAGTGAGCATCCCTGTCTGGTGAAGTTCAGCCACGTCGAGCGTGAGGTACTTTTATTCAATGGAGGTGGAAGATGATAGCATAATATAGTATGTTGGTTGAAGTTGGACAGGCACATCATCGGTTGCTCGCTCAGTGGTTGAACGGTTACCGTGAGACATTCATATCCTGGGTTCAACACCGACAGAGCGTATGATAAACTCTGTTTTAGAGGCACATGTTACAACGAAGCAGACTTATAGTGGTTTCGGTTTTTTAGTGGTTGTATAGCTTAGGTCAATTTGTGATGTAAAATGTGAAACTCAACAATTCCCCATAGCGCTCATCGCGCTTAGCTTATGCCTTTACTGAAAGATGGTTACAATCAAGTTTATTCACCCACAATGACACAGTTATCGATCTTCCTTGCCTTGATGATTTCAGCTTTAGGAGTATGTGAGCACCACATGCTTTTCAACAACCTTAATTATAGTTATATATTTCTTGCTCCTCTTCAGAGCGATAAAAAATAGCCAAATTTTTCAGTATTACACAACCCTTTACATAGATTTTCGACTTTTAAAATTCTATTTTTGTGCCCTTCTTAATCCTCCTGTTATTTCCCGATAAGCATGATGAATGGTAACCTTTGGGATCCATTTATGGACGAATACTAAATATATATTTTTACCGTATAATTGTTAAATAACTAAACTATGCATATTCATATTCTTCTTATCATAAGCTTTATCTTGACTTACGGACTATTATTATACGTTTCACCATTCTTGAATTATGCCCTGTCTATTAATCACTACCTCCCTCATTCACATCCACTTTTGGCCAAATCTTGTACAAATGTTATTTTCTATTTTATGGTATGTTGTGGTCTGTTTGGTTAGTATATAAACCCCGTATGCTTGAAATAAATGATTCATATTACAGAGGCTGAGATTGGTGTTTTGGAGTTAACTGGCTGGGCTAGGCGGAAAGCAGGAACAATCAGGATTCTAGACTGCTCATACGGGTTTACGCATCATTGATCTGATCGATAAATCACTACTCTCTAGTTGGCGGTATCGTTACGTTATACATTAACAGGGCACTCAGGCCAAAAGTTATAACACCTCCACTTCTACACTATTTAAGAATTCCATCTATAGGTATATAACTAATTGTCTAGGTAATTAACTGCAATACTTTCATGATTACTAAAATTCACTAAGAAAATTTTACATAAAGAAACTAAAAAACAACACGATTTGTATATAAATTATGTAAATATGTTATCGTTACACTGATGGATAAAACTAGTATTAGACTAATAAGGAATAAAAGAGGACAGACACGGAAGAAAAATGAAATACCCAACTAGTATGTTAAGAATGATAGTAAAATAACTATGCAAACAATAGATAAACTATTATGTGGACAGATTGAGTCACACTCAACAATCTCCCACCACTCACAGTGCATCCATGTGGACATGACAGTCAGTCTGGCACTCGTTCTGTAGCCACAACTCCACAGACGAACTCACCACTGAAACACACAAACAACTGCGTGTAGACAGCGTGCACTCAACCATCTGCTTGTCCAAACCCCCATCGACATGATTGTTCGGTCTCCATCTACTCAACTCTCCCAATTCCACTTGTCTCACTGACCCACTTCCATACTGCCACGAATACTGACCACACTAAAGCAGTCCATTCACACACACTCACATCCATTCAACACGTCAACAATTAATCAATCAATCAGCCAACCGACTAACCAACTAACTAGCCATACAACACCAAACCACGTCGCATCAATCCACATCATCAAAACTACATCGCGACCATCAATCGAGGCATGAGTGTTTCACTGCATTCCGTCACACCACACGATTCACTGACTCACACATTCACTCACTCATTTGATCAATTCAATAACACACCTCCTCCTATCCGACCAGACCATCACGATGGCGATGACGACGACTAAGACAAAGACGACGAGTGAATGCCTCTTGTAAATAGCACGGTCATTAACTTCTAGGTTGTTGTCGCATCGAGTCAGAATGATCATTCGAGTTCGTTGGTCAAGGCATCTTGATGAATGTGAGTGGACCGATTCACTTATGAATCGGTGGGTGGACTCAGACGATTCCAGAATTCCTCATGACACGAACGAATCACATCGGAGTGACACATCACTGAATATGACACTGCAATGACACATTGAGTGTTGACCAACATCAGCTACCTATACACAGTACAGGTGACCAGTCATGCGGATCGACATGTCCAAGTGGAGTGAGACGCACTGCTCCCAACTGGTTCGGTGTACATGTGTTCAACTGACCAGATATGTGTCCCAATGTGTGAGTGCGTCGACCATTGGTTGGTGTGTGCATGCGTGCGTGTTGGGGTGTTTGACGTCTGAATGTTGGTTTGTTGTAATGTGTGTGACGCAGTGTAATGGTTTGAAATGAGGACGAGTTGGCCAGCTCAGTCAGTAGAGCATGGGACTCTTAATCTCAGGGTTGTGGGTTCGAGCCCCACGCCAGTCGTCGTCCGGTGAAGCAGCACATGGCGTCTGGTAGTTGCCGACTACTGGACGACAACTTACATCCTACTCTCTAGCCCCACCCACTCACCACTTCATCATCCACCACCTCAATGCTGTACAGTGCACATGCCGTTCTCACGGAACAACTGTGCATACAATACATAGAACTTAGATCAATTTGGTGACATGTTTGTTCACCTGGCTTTTTTGTTGTTAGATCGTCTACTTTATGAAATGTTTTTCCCCCAGAAATTTACCCCATTTCGAAATACGTTGTTCTCAATTGTATGGAATTTATTAACTAAGGTGTATAGATTTTTGTTGTTTTTAATCGGGAAAGTTTGGGTATTTTAATGATACTAATAAGTCATAATATTTCTATACACTATATTTTCTGAAATCATAAACTAGCATAGAAGGCAACGTTTCACTGAATAAACAATGGTTGACACTGAATTTTGTTTGTAGAAAAGAAGTAATATACAACAAAGTTATGGTTTATTAGTTTCATATAAAAGTAAAGACATTTCATTAAAAGAACAAATGATGAAAGGCAATGATTAGGGAGAAAAATATTTTATTTTTTTCTACAAAGAAAAACGGGGAGCAATATGTAATTCATTATAGTTTGCATTAAAACTAGTTTAAAATACAAAACCGAAATGTTCTTATACTATAACTAAATAAGATATTTTCATTGTTAGTTAAATGTTGTGTGCTATTGTAAAAGGAAAAAAAGACATTTGAAAAGTACATATCTATGTTCTAGAGAAGAGATTAGTCAATGTGTTGTCCTAACAACAAAAAACCATAAATTCAATTAAGATTCTATGAAACTTAACATTAATTTGATTTTGACAAATTTAAATCTGATTCTTTAAACAATGGATCCGTCACCCAGAGACGATCTAATCCAATTGAATTAGATAAACCATCATTTGGAATATCTACAGATGCTGTATCAGGACTAACTGCATTTGGTGATGATTCCGATCCACGAACTAAATCTAAACGTCGTAGTATTTGTAAAGATCTATTTGCATCAAATGATAAGTCGAATAATGGACCAGAGCCACCATTGAATAGTGAATTAAGAGAATCACCTGTGATTGGTGCACCAATTGAAGATGGTAATGAAATATGAGATTGAGGTGATAAGTGTTTAGCAATCCAAGATTCAGCGCGAAAACCCAACTGTACAGGAGTTAAGGCAGTATTGCCTAGAGAGAGGTAAATAATAAAACTTTAAACGATATATATATATATATATATATAACAAAATACTAAAAAATAGACAGTATAAATAATTTATGATCTGGTTCAAAGTTTACATATGGAGTTTATTTTCCACACTTCATACTAAGGGTAGTGAGAGGAAAATCAATCATATGATCGAAAATATCAAGATCACTAATAATGTATTGTAAAATAAGAAACTGAAATATATATAAGGGGCAGTGCTACATTATGAATTAGGAGCTCACAGAACATAATACCGCCAAAAGTACACCTACTTAACTTATATGAATGCAAACAATTACTGAAATCCAAATTAACCCACTTGTCAAACACTCGGGTATGAGTTACACCTTAAGTGTGAGAAGGACTAGTGTTACTACACAGTTGACCAAAATTGGAGGTAGAGAAGAGTTCGAATCTCAGACTTAACCACAAAGCTATCACTCCACATAGAATTCTGGGTTGATTTGCTCTGAATAATCACATTAAACAGTTGTAAATAGACTGACTTTTGTAGTCAATTAAGTCAGTGAATGTCCGAAAACGAAGACATTAGTTAATAATCAAGTTATTCAATTCAGTAATTGGATTGATAAAACATGGATCAATGGATTCTGGATCTGTTATGTAGCGGTAAAAAGCATGATCCTCAAGTTCGATCATTCTGTATTTCTTAAAAAGAAACTAACCACAACTAAGGCAGTTCTTCGGTGTGCTTTTCATCATTTTAGCACAGTCTTGAAAATCATTTTGCAATTGAACAGAATTACTTGTCGTCGGTTAGAGATTTCCTACTACTGACCTCCTCTGCCTCCCTGACATTATTTACTAAGTAACTAATTAAACATGGGCGGAGGGACGAGGGTATATTAAAAACAAGTTTTCATTTCAGTTATCTGTTATGTCTTTTACAGGAATCGTCTATTTAGTGGAATTTTAAAATTGGGAAAATAAATGGACTCATGTTATCAGAGTTCCTTTTCAGTTAGAAGGAAAGAGAATTCAGCTACAATCTATGAATTTAATGAACTAATTCAGTGTTAGTGTATTGTCGCGCGATCAACTCATTATTCGGTGAGATTATAACTTATAGACAACCTGTGAGTGATAATAAAGTGGCTTTGAGAAACTTCAACCAATTACTAAGGCCAAAAAGGGTTATAAATTAATGTGAGGAATCGAGATAAAGACTCAAGGTTAGAAGTTGGGGTTAGTAATTAGAGTTAGGGTTTCCACCACAAACTAACATCAACAGTAATGTCAAAATGCTATTTAAAAATAGTTATATGAATTTTGAGCGAAAATCCTAGAATTGCTACCTTAAATGTGATTGATCCACTCAAAAATTATAGTGCTGCCCATTGTTAACATAAAGTAGAATTTTAAAGAATAGATCTTTGAAATAGAAAACAAAACCTTATGCGAAGATCATGTATTAGTCATTATCAACTTAAAGCCAAGCACAGATGCGAGTTGGTTCAAACTGTAATACCACATTAGCACGACAAGATGAAGTATGTAAGAGATCGCAATAATGCAGTACCAATGATAATGAAAACAGTAAACCTTGAGAAAGTGGTTTGAAAAGACAAAGTGGAAACATATGCCTGAATAAGTCCTGAACTTCAAGATCGAGAAGAATATAAAGGGTGAATACACCTGCGCCACTACGAACGATTCTTAATCATGTCATCTAATGTTTCAAATCACTGATCACGTTTATTACGCGAACCGCATCCAGGTAGTGCGCATCTACCAACATGGCTTAGACCAACAGTTAACGACTTCATGGATTGGTGAGGTGCCTTTGTTTGACCAACTTTAATTCCATTTTAACATCTTGGAGTAAGTCACTAGTAGACTGACTATTATAATTTAGTTTAAAAGAATTTATGGAGATTGGTTTAATTTATAGATTGTATTTGTTTAGTGAGAAGTCGTGAGTGTTATAACAGAACAAGTATTCAAATAGTCGAACTTTTATAACTGTCCTCCTAGCTGAAGTTATTGTTTATATTTCTGTCGTGTAATTAATAAAAATCCTTAAATTATTGTATTTTAGTATTATCCAGGTTGTAAATTTTCTCGTGATGCATAAACTGTTATATACCTTATCTTCCCAAAGTTACCGTTAATTAATTACGGACCCATTATCTAGTTTTCTTCCTCCACTTATGAACTAGTAATCCCCTTATTGTAATTTCTTAATTATGTTGATGTGTGGTCAAGATTTCATTCTACATAACTGTATGAGTTTCGAGTCATGATTGAGTATAATGTAAAGTTAACAACTGACTTTCCTTTTGACTCAAGGCAAACGACAGGGAAAGGCTTGAGTGTAGCAGACCAATATGAACTTAGTTTGGGTAGGCTAAGGGTTAACGGTGTAATTCAGACGTATAATTGGTCACATCTACGACACTAGGCTAAAAAAGAAATAGTAGAAGCGGAATAGAAAAATGTGTAATTATAATTCCGATTAATGACTTTAACGTGAGATACCAAGCAGTGTGCTCAAGCAATAACAGTGACTAATGGAGTTCGCTACGAAATTGAATGGTCTTTAAAACGATCTTTGACAGGGTGGTGGATACCTGATGCTAAGGGATTTCATATCAGGATGAGATGGATGACTAATGCTCCTTAGTTTTCAGTAGTACCCCAAATGAAATCAAACTACGAGTTTATATATATAAGTTTAATCAGATGATTATGCTGTCTGTTGTCTCGAATGACGATCAAGGTGTTTACTAATCAATGGAAATCATCCACTGTATTGGTACAAGACATTTAACAGTAAAATTGATACAAAAATGAAAAAAGAAACACCGGAATATTTTGTTTACTACTTACTGTCAGTAGGTCTTAACAATAAAGCATATGTAAGTAAAGCTGCTTTAAATTCTTGTTCATGCGCCAGTTTCAACAAAGTATTGATTGATTGTAGTCCAGAACTTTGACAACAAAGATATTGCTACACAATGATAATAATAATAATAATAATGGCAGGATAATTGACACAAAGTAATAATTTCTTAATATAATGTAAAAGCCACTCATGATTTCTACTGGTACATTACCAGGGGATATTAAAATTGCACGTTAGGTGGCTAGAAATAGTTAACAGGAAGAAGCGTTAGACATACGTTTCGTACTAGCCAATACTCGTCAGTAGTCTTGAGGGGAATGATGTTTCCTGGTGAATTTGGACCTGAGTCAGTAATGAGTTCCGCAGTCTGAGAGGTTACCACCGAGTTATTCAGACCGAGACTGACCTCTTCCTATAGGACTGAGATGAAATGATGTTTCCAGAAGGTTAATTTTAGTAGTGAATGTACAGGAAGATAGCAAAAGTTTAGTTAGCTGGAATATATAAGTTTGATTTATCGATCCCATACACTTTTATGTGACCTTTGCGATATATCAAACAAGAGAATGAAAGTAATTAAAAATAATCTTTATTTTAAGCCTGAAGCTCAATGAATTTAGTCAATTGACTATTGTTTTCCTGGTAACTTTGATGAGTTAAGTAAAATGTTATAAAAAGCTATAACAGTTTTACATATGTAAATTTTATTGAGTAAACCATTTCATTATATACTATGTATCTTCAGAGCAGTACGAGTGAAAGCAACGATAGGGAGGCAAGGATGAAAATGTGAATTTACAATATTCTTGTAAGACTGTGAAACCAATGAATTAATAAAAAAACCCATATTCTTAAATACTCATCGATGGTAGTAGATTTTTTTGACGTTACTGATTTATCATGGTGAAGTTCCTGGGAAATTTGTTGACATAATAAGAGAAGGAAACGATAAACTTTGATTTTACAGATACTTTAGACAATACTATTTGTCTATTATTATTTCTAAGGATTGAAATGTTTCCAGTTATGAATATTTTTGCATTGAATGTGATCCATATCTGTTGGTATATATCCATTCTGAGTGAATCGAATTGATATGGCTGTTTGGTCACAACGTATTTAGAATAGACAGATTGTAGCTAGCAGTAGAACCAACGACGCAAGTTTCGTACTATTTTGAGTTCGCAGTTGGATGTTTGCCTTCTAGTGTTGATGTTTACAATGAGACTCGAACGTGGTACCTGCAGCCCCAAATACGTACACATTAACCAGTAGGCTAATGAGTTTGGACAGCCACTAAACGTGTCTATCCTATAAATTTGTAACAAATAAGCCATAAATCAAGGCATTTACTTAGGATATACACACGCCAACCAACATCGGTCAAATTTCACTCTTGAACATCAACCCTTGCGGAGTTGTTGTACCGATTGGACAAGTTAATAGTTATCTGAATTCAGTAGATTAGCGATTAACGCATTGTAGGTGTATGAGGCGACAACACTGGGATGTGATAAGTACATCCAAATAACGAGTCTCAAATAAGAAGGAAGCTCTCCAATTTTATTCTAAATTTGGTAAAGCAATACTATGCTGTCGAACTAGTTTGATAGCGCCTTTCAGATGCTTGCACGAAATTCGAAACGGAGTCAAAGGTAACTCGCATCTCATTAAAATGACCATATGAAGTTCTTAATATGCCTAAAACTGATTGAAAAATATCCATTTTAGAGTCTCAATGTGATATGGTGTATAAGCTAAATAAAAAAGGAAACTGTTCCAGAAGCAGATTATTCCCGAAACGCTAATTACTCATGATTCAGGGTATATTCAAGGGTATTAGCGTGATCAGAAGTATTCGTTCACGTTAACTATAATCTATAATCCTAATCCTCCAAACTTTAATCCCGAAATTAAAATTATGACACCAACTCCTAATCCAAAGTTGCGATTAAGATTTTAGCCTTAACTCCTAATTTCCAACCTTAACCTTTTTTTCTTTAATCATATTAATAAATTCAGCATGTAACGGTTAATTATTCATTCCAAAACTGTTTACTGATTGTAATTTTATCAACTATTCCCATTGTAATTTCTGAGTAAACACTAAGTTTTTGATTAACTGACAAATGGCTCAAGGTCGTCAGTATAGTATAATTTTACTATAAATTTTAAATATTCGATGGTCAACAAACTGATATAGAGGGTCAATAAAAAATCATCTGATGACGAGGAATGGCTTTATTTTGCAAGGAATAAAATATTAACTACTGGTAAGCTTGATTTCTTGAAGGATAGACAAGTATATTGTTGGGGAGATCTAGAATATTCTTCTAAAAACGACCCAAAGGGGCCGTGAAAACGCTAGTAAGCATTTTTATCCAATCAGCAATGAATCGGAGTTTCTCAGAAACATATAGAGAGTCAAGAGTCACGCGTCACATTTCTGACTGGATGATTACCTATCCTGTTACTATGTTTGGTAGGGTTCCAGAATCTTCCGGAAGCCCAAGACCATCTGAAATACTGTGAATAATCTTGATTTTCTATACATAAACTAACCTTGGAGTAAAGCGATTTTTTCCAAATTTCGCGCATTTTCTCTCGTGTTAAAGTTGTCGAGTAGATTTAGCTTGGGCGTTATAGAAGAGCTCAAGAAACCAATTCAAGCGTTCAGTTAGAAGATTTATCTCATAAACATATCAATGAGCGCAAATAGACATGAATTGGTTTAACCTAATAAACTTTCTTAATCGTTTTTTTCTCACGAGTAACCGGACTTGTATACAGAAATAGTGAGTATCACAGTATCAACTCGCTACCATTACAAAACTAACAATTAATATAATTAAAATTTTATTTTTATGTAAACATTTAAAATAACAACTTACCATATACTTTAAGTTATTAGCTAAATTAGTTTGTGCACGCCAATAACGAACCCATACAATCGATAGTGTAGTAATAGCACAAGAAGTTGCAGCCATAGACCAAGCTAATACTAAATCATAATTATTTGAATTAAATAACCAAGCGATAGGACTAATTACACCTAAACAACATACAGCTGTAGTTGTACTTAATAAAATAGCTGAACGTGAACTTTTACTTAATGGAATTGTACGTAAATTTGGTAAAAGATATAAGAGATTATCAGCAAAAGTTGAGTTACGTACAATGCCTGTAACAGGTACATTCTAAGAGAGGAGGGGGAAAGAAAAACAAAACAAAACATTTTTTTGAAAAGAAAACAGACTTTATGAATGGGATGACGAATAAAGTTTATTAATACAACTGTAAAGAAAGTTGTTAAAAGCTGTTGTATTCTCGTTGGAGGTGCTATGTCTGGGTGTGTGTCACTCAATTCTGATGTGTCCGATGCCTTACTGTTTATACTTGACAAGCATGAACTACTGCAATTTCTCGATCCTACTGCATATACTTTTAGATCAGAACTACTACTGCAATTTCCACGACGCGAAGTGAAAACACAAAGACTGGTACAAATGAAGATTTCAGTAGTTTAAAAATCCTAACAGAATATTCAAAAATAAGGAATATTTGAGCGAACAAATGTCTCTAACAGCTTCGTCATCAGGCTCTACAGTTATAAGTCCATAATTATTGTACTATTTTACAAAGGCCGAAATAAGGCATACTAGTTAACTAAACAATGTTAAATATCAAAAACGGCGAAAAAGACAAAACGAATTGGTGGGGGAAAAGGCGGATAAACGGTTTACAATATCTAGTTTAGGTTTATGGTGATCCAGTCGCGGACCAAGGTAAACATAGAGGCTGAACATACCTCTTTTAGAGACATAGGTTAAGTTTTCTGAAGTTGATTCAGATGGCTTCATCTATGTAGAAGAGTCATAATTTAACTCTTTTAGGTGGATTTGTTTGGAACTTGATACAAAACTGAGAAAACGTAATCTATTTTAATACGATATTCACTATCTGCTAAGTATAGAGCTGTTAGTAGGTTTTGTGATCCCTTTTCCAAACCATGGAGGTGAATTTCCACGCAAACATAAAGCCCTCTGAAAACGGCATATGTGACATGTAACATTGTTTAGTTCGCTACAATACCTTATTTCGGTCTTTGTAAAATAACACTATAATAATATTATATAGAGCTTGACAGTGAAATTATTGAAAATGAAGATTTATTGACCTTCCAAAAACATTTTCATAAACAAGTCCAAAACCATATCGCCTTTAGACTAAAATATGATCATTTATATGTTTATTTTTACACACAACAATACCTTAAATACAGGAAAATACATAAAGTTACTGTAAAAACACACTATAGTTCATCTAGTAGTGCTGTGTTCCCTGAGTTAGACGAATTAATTAAGTAGGAGCTTCCATTGTCATTCTGAACAAAATAATCGGGGTTTACTTTGTGTAAAAGTGAACTTCTCCATAAGTGTTATATCATTCGTTCAGATGACCTTGTTTGTGGATGACTGTTTTCATATGTCCCCTTATTCTGATGAGGAACATTTAATTGAAATAGTTTGTGGGGTTGATTTGAAATCAACCTTTCGGTAGTGTTGTATAAGTTCCCCAGGGGCATGTACTGAGGCCTTAGTCACGTCAAAACTAAAATCTCTTTTATATGTTCAAAAAACAGCTTGTTCTCCCCTTGGATCTACCCTAATAATATTGATTTATTATTATCAAGAGCAGTGCAGTTCATGTTGCTGTTTATTATCTTAGTATTTTCTTATCTCGCGATTTGTCCAGTTTGAAATCTCTCTATCTTAACAAGTAAATGTACAGTTAGATTATTCAAAATGCATAACATCGGTATATATGTCACATGAGTTCTAGTAAACTCAATCTCCCAAAAATTATAGATGATAATTGTGTTTCGTCCATTGTCTTAACATCCCTCACTACATAGTTATTACAATAGTGATGTTACCTAGGACGATAATTAAAGCTTTACATCCACAATTAGGCGTTTGCTGGGGTCCTGAAGGTACTGAGTCTGATCTTCGACAAGATTTTGACTGAATACTGTCGAAAAGTTTCAAACTAGGACGAAACAAATGTTCATTGCTCCTTATCTTCAGTGGTATCCTTAAATGAGACTAGTTACCTTTTCAATGTTAACCATTCACATGACATTCAGATAATATATAAGGGTTGGTCAAACCAGAAGTCCATCTTTATATGAACAAATTATACTAAAGTGGAACTTGTCTAAGGTCTTCAAAACAATTGTTAATTAAATACTAACCAAGGAACAGGGTATTTTGATGTTCTTCCAAAATTTTTATCTTAAAAATGGTATATCCAGTAAAAGTGACCTGTCAATGATTGAAGACAGATATATTGAGTTATATTAAATGAGAGTGACTACTTTATACTGTAAACTGCATTTCACTTATTGATTGGTTTGTAATTTATTTCAATAAACTATCTTAGTTGTGATATCGGCTTCGTGTTTGAACGATCGGATTTAAGTGATTTGATCACAATAATTTACGTTATAACAAAGGGATTCATAAATATAAATGTAAAGACTTACAACATTTAATTGAATGACACAACAGACTGAAAAAAGATAATTCACATCTTACTTACTTCGAACAGTTTCAAGTCTAAATTATGACTATTTTTTCTTCGAACACACATTAATACTCGACTGAAATAAAATCCATCCGATTTAGTAGTGAATGAATCCACTGATTCATAACCATGTATATTTGGAGAATAACTACGTTTTATTGATCGTTCCAATATATTAAACAGTTGAGAAATTCGTATGAATACTTTTTTAAATGTGCCTTGTTTACGTTCATAGTGGGTCGATATGGAATCAGTCAAATTGGAAATAGTAGAACAAGCTGGAGTAGCATTAAAATTTGGATGAAATCCACGAATCCAAAAACGAAGTACATCATAATCGTCCGGATCGACATAAGCCTTAAGTTATTGGCAAAGAAAATAAAAACGACAGAAAAATGTGGTATATTGGGTCCTCCGGGAATCGGTCAAATAATAAATGCACGTGACTGGATAAGAAATAACGTGCATTTCTAAGGGATGAGACATACAGCACTGATGGCTTGGTTTTTGGGATAACAAAAGGACTGGAAGAATGATGGATTAGTAAAGGATGACTCAAGGAAGATGTACAAATGGCTATTAATTTTTGATGATAGACCGACAGTAAGTGAAAAAAGGAAACTAAGAAGTACAGAACAACCATTTCTCACTAATTTAGGATTCATGGAAAATAGTGCAATATATACTACTACGATACAGGGATAAACACTTTTCATGATACAACACAGCCAATTCAATTATTTTTAATGATATTGGTATATAGTAGACAACTGGTTTCAAGAGTTTCTTCCACATTTAGGACATAATTTCCTTTTTCAGAAATAAAAACAAAAAATTTATGAGGGGTTTAGAATTTGATGGGAGACAAATAATGGATGCATTTGGACCATTGAAAGCGATTTAGAGCCGTGTCAAAGTATCTAACACCGGTTACGATAACTATGCGGACCTCAACCAGGTGGTCTATACCTATTAACATGGCAAAGTCCAATTGTTAGTGACTTCATGGTTCGATGCCATGTTTTGGTCAACCCTAGCTTCCTTCCAGTCTATTCCTACGCCAAAAAACATCGCCCATCGAGGAAGGTGGTGGTTAAGCATACATAACAGATATCTCAACCACCTCAGTTAGCGAAGATTTACTACCTTATCAATCGATTTACCATCTTTGCCTAATACTGTGTTCCTAATCCTGGTATTGCTAATTCAGTGGTTCCAAAATATACAAGCAATGCTTCGTAGACACCTATGATCGAATACTAGTAATCTACGAATATCATCTATTCTTAATCGTCATGTTTTACATCCATAAAGTAGGACAGAGAAAACTAATGTACAGTAAACTCCACCTTTGGTCGGAAGAAGGATATCTCGCCTACTCCATAAGTGGCGCAAGTTAGCAAAAGCCAATTGAACCTTCTCAATCCGTGTAGAGATTTCGTCAAACACCAGACCACCAGTACTGATGAGACTCGGTAGGATACAGGAATATTGAGAAATACTAATATTATTCCAACCCGATCGTAGTTATTACCTAAACGTGGTGGTCGGGCTTGTATATCGTGATAACCAAATCGAGGTAAATTGACTGGGATACTTGTCCTGTTAGGTTCTACCATAAAGGTCGGTTGGAAAACAGTTGGATTAAAAGTAGCAATCTAAGGTCCGAGTAAAACGTCGTACTGCTAACTGTACCAGGGTATCCTTCAGATAACCAGAATCTGTGGTGATACTGCTTCACTACAGCGGAAGAAGGTCGGTCCTAATAATAATATACATCAACTTGCTCCATGGGTTTCTATCACTGATGATGGTCCGAAAAATATGAGGATAACATGTCAAGGACTATTTATAAGGAAGCAGTATGTGACGGCACTTAATTAGCTGTTGATAAGTCTTTTAATTAAGCGCATCTAATAACCCCAGGCTACATTTACACGGGAACTTGAACATGAGAGGAAAGGCGCAAAGACTGGTGATGAGGATTTATTTGACTCACAAAATAAATCGAATTGATTTAAGAATTATTATATCCCGGAGAGAATTATGAATGGTAACTTTTGAGAACTATTTTAGGACTAATATTACACGTATATTCTTAATGTATAACTATTCAGTAGCTAGATTGTGTACATCTATACTCCTCTTATTACAGACTTTATTGTGACCTATAAACTATTATTATACGATTTACCGTTCTTGAGTTATGCCCAATCTATTAATTACAGTTTCCCACATTCACAGCCACTTTTGACTAGATAGTGTACAAGTGTTATTTTCTGTTTTATGGTACGATGTAGTCTGTTTGGTTTGTATATAGACCCAATATGTTTGAAGTAAATGATTCATATCACAGAGGCTGAGATTGGTGTTCTGGACTCAACGGGCAGGGCTAGGCAGGAAGAAGGATCGGTAAGGACTCTAAACTGCTCTTAAGGGTTTAAGCGTCATTGGTCCGGTCGATAAGTCACTGTTCTCTAATTGGCGGTATCATTACGTTACATATTGACAGGGGCACAGGGCTACAAGTTATAACAAAAATACACCACATTTTATATGATTTACTTACAGTTAATTTAACAGTCAAATTTGTATAAACTGAACTGAGTTGTGTTTAACAATAATAATTCAATAACTTACTGTGTGAACACAGTGTTATACAATTAAGTATCTTTAATCCTTCTTATGATGTGAATGGATGTCACATGATTGGAGAAAAAAATCAATTTTATATGTCATCTTCATTCCAACTGATTAAGCTATTACTCGCCATATCAGTTGTCCCTTGGGTTCTGAGGTCATGGTTCCAAGTTGCCAAGACCACTACTAAACGATTTCCCACATAGGTACCTTAGGAAGAAGTGTTTTTCCAGGATGCAGGTGACCAGGAAGTGACAACTACTGACACACCGCTAACATCACTTGAGATCACGTGGTTCACAGTCAAGTCTTTTCGTTAATTAATAATAATAAGTAGGAGGGATCATTCATTACATATCGTCAAATACTATTTGTTAGACAAACCATATGAGTAGTTCCCATTTATTTATTTAAACACACAAATATTGGTACAAGGATAAATATAAATGCATCACACTTTGTCATTCGACCTGTATGAGGACTGGGATATTTTCCGCGTGCCCAAACCGAAGCAGATCCGGGATTAAATGTAATAAGTGAGGTACAGTAACAAATCTCTAAGTCGGAACTAACAAATATACGAACTCTACAACTTCCTTTCAGGTCACAATAATTCGAGCTGTCAATGATGGGTATGGTAACGTAATGCTGAAGTATTTGAGACGTTTCGGTTTACAATTGAAGGTGTATCACGAGACGCTAAGAGTTCATAGCAGAAATACTGAAACATTATCAGGCTAAAAGTGTAAATTATTTCACATAAATGAGCAACAACAAAAAGCATTAGCGGTAACGAATTTCCGATGATTAATTCTGATAAACTTTACCTAGAAAATTAAAGATTATAAGTTCAATCCCTTTAAAAACCAATAATTCCAACTGATGATGGACTTTAATCTAATAACAAAATCAATGTTTAAAATTCCTTGGAATTTAGTAATATTTTCACCAATATAAACTTATTTATTTCATGATTTCTCTCCAGAGATGTTTATAACCCATAAGTAAAAGTAATAATTATTTAAAATTAACATACATCATATAAGAGAGTAATGAAGATAAATAAAACAACAGTAGCATGTATGAAGGAATTATAGAACGTTGAAGTGGATGAATGTTTGTATGCTATGAAAGGGGAAAGTTCCATAAAATTTTTAAGAAATACAAGTTTCTAGAGAATGGAAATGGAAATTGATGTTAAGTTACTGAACAATAAGCGTAAAATCAAATAAATTAATAGAGTAAAATGAGTAAAGCTCAAGAAAATCACTCAAGAATGGATGAAAGGGAGCTTATAATTGAGAACATGGAATAATATACTACTTAAGAATAATAAAAAGCAGAAGCTACCGTAATAGTGAGAGATTCACAACGGTATCCTTTCGAATACAGTTTCAGTTTCAACCTTCTAATAGCGATAAGCTTGGTGAAACAGAAAAATCTAAGTTCTTCAAGTACTGATTGTTTTGTATGATCTTGGGGTATTAATACTGTCCACTATCAAGCGGATAACATGGAATTACACTGTCAGAAACAGGTTGGTCTTATAATCTCATTTGTTGTGGAATGTGCACGGAGATACGAATAAGCATTCCCCTTTCTGTTCTCCCAATATAAGTAGTTTGGCCCGGACAAGTAAACCGGTAGATACAATTGAGGTAACATGTGACGAGAATTTCTCCACTTTTGTTTGTCTCAATGAGCAGTTTACCTGATAAAACGAGAATAGCTTGGAAACTGGATACTTCTTTTTCACTGTAGCACTTAGTTTAGAATTAATTATACTGACTACTTCATCACATTTGAAGCTAATACGTAAAAGACTGGCTTTTTCTCGACCGTAGCACGTTCCATTCCCTTTTTTTGTTATCCCATACTTACTGAACTTTTGTGGGTAACCATTATCTAGCAGATACTTTTCGGATAATTAAAATAAACCTTAATATCATTGAGTAAGAAAAAGAGAATTCAGAGAGGAAAATTTTCTTTTCGACGAAATCATTTATTTAAGCTGTACTCTAATCAGTTATTATTATTACTTTATACAAGTTTTCTCGATTATTATTCAGTTTATTACTATAACCTTTATGTTTGTCATTTTTCCTCATATCTGTCAATTGGACTATTATCTGACCCATAAATTATTTTATTCCTTACCCCTTGATTAGTACGTAACCTCATTGTTATTTAGTCTCGAATCAATTTGTGATGCAATCTTTTATATATTTTCTATATAGCTATATATATGAATGTACAGCTTAGGTAAAAGATACTTTTCAATCATAACTAAATATTCCCTAATCTTATCTTTTGAACATATTTTCGGTACACGGTTGAGTAGTGTTTTGACCAAAGCTTCTTTGTGACTTATTAGACAGAAGCTAATGAAATCCAACTAAAGTCTACTGCGTATCTTTTCGCCAAATACAAAGCTTTATTTAGCCATCTGAATTGCGCTGGATACCAACATCAAGGAACTGAGGTTTATCACTATGTTCGTGTTCCATTGTAAATCGTATTTCAGGGTACTCTTAATTGAGAAGATTCAGTAAAAATTAGTTCCACTATTTGGCAATTGTTTGGGAAATATTGAGAAAAAAGTGTATGGATTACAAAATGTATGCTGGCGTGTAGTTGACTTTCTAAGTTTTTTTGACAATTAAGGGTGTTTTAGGTATGAAAAAGCCAATATACAAAAAAACTCACTATTAAACCATGATGTTTTGATTTAATTGAGTTGCACGCTTTTTGTAATTGTTGTTGAGGTATTTCAATAAAGCCAGCTATAGGAGCAATATCTGCTAACCGACGAAGAAGCCAGAATTCTTGGTCAAGTTCATTCGCATTATTAGCTGTATCAACAGAAGACGAACTGGTCCCTTCTGAATTATTTGAAACATCAAGAGGATGTGATAGAACCTTTTCGAGTGAGCAAAGATAATAATAGTAATAGTAATAATGTGATATAAGTAATTATTTTTAATAAAAAACTATTTAGGATCGTGTTTTGTGGTTGTGGAGTCAATTTAAAACCTACTTAAACGAACTCCCGCGAGTTAACTGATCCATTTTGATAACTAAGATGATCTGATTTCAATACTTGTAAAGCGATAAGAGGCGTGGTTGACATATTTATCAACACCGCTCAATTTCGCCATCTAAATTAAACCTATTTACGACATTAGGAAGGCATCTACAGCACTACGTCTCCCAATAACTTGAAAGTTGTGAATCAGGACTTAAGCAAATTAGTAGCCTACTTTTCAGATGTGTCCGAGGGTTTTGAAAAATATGGAAGCCAAGTGAGATTCCAACGGAGTAAACACTGATGTTTATTGTTTTGATTTAAGCGAGATAAATTTATACAGACAGTGAGTTCCATTTTACCAGACGGGTTGAAGTGTGGAAGAATTTTTTACTGATTTAAAATACAGTAAGTCAACCATAAAGTAACGACCTTGGAAATGAAACAATTGTAACCAATCCAGAAGCAGAAAATGCGATTCGACTTCAATGTTTATAACCTTAAAAAACTACTACAGTTTTAATCTATTTTTTACTCAAAGCGACATCCAGACACCTCACAATATACTGCTGTGTAAAAACCCATGTGAAATATCGCCATAGAGTATTGATTTCTCCAAATAAGATTTATAGAATACGACATCGTAAGGCAATACAAAGCTAGCAACACATGAGTCAACTACACTGTTATATGTAAACATTAAAACTAATGTGAGAAAGAATCTAACGAACTGGATAAAAGGACCCGAACTAGTTGTTTGTTTTCACACTCACCAGGCGGAGTAGATTGAAATCTAAAGATTAGATACAACTTACCGAAAATTCACTCTGAAGAATTTGAAACTGACTTTCAAGCTTTCTATCAAGAAAGACAGCTATTTTCTCGAAGCTTTTTCTTTCGAATGGTAATACTGTACTACTATCCTGTAACAGTTCTCGAACAAGCGCCCTACGGGTGAGTGGTATATAAGCATTTCTATTGGGGAAATATTTGCACGCTAAAAACAAAGTACTTTAATGCAAACTGCGATGTCGCTGGAGGATTTCGAATAGTGTCCAAAGATTCGACTGCTTTTGATTTCCTGAATACACTGAAGATTGTAGATTTCGGAAAAAGTGGTATGGAGGAAGGGCTAATTTTTCTTTTCAAGTAAGAATAAGAAGTTCTTAAGATATCTTTCATTGTCCATTTACATGTGAAATAGTAGCGTAAGCATCAAAACCCGCGGTGAACTAATCCCATATCTTTGTTGCTAGCTTCTTGTTTATAATTTATTTGAACTTCTCCCGTTGCAACAGTAAAGATTGAAAAAACGATTTTAGCTATGAATCAAAATCAGTAGTTGTTCAACCCTTTGAAGGAGTAAGACTTCCAAAACTCGATCAGTAATACATATTATAAGGTGTGCCTACGTTCCAACCTGATTTATTCAACATATATCTTTCTAGTAGACCCACTGAGACTGTTGTTAAGACCGAATCATGGCAGTTTTGGAGGAGTTTCAGCCACACATGCCATGTCATAGGTTGCTTCTGAGTCTTATGTTGTAGATGGCATAGGTCTTGTGTTTACTAACGTTCCGTGTAATACTTAAATTTAAGACCACTAAGTTATCTTATAGCTCATCTTTGGATACGGGTCAAGGTATTCATACAATCTGAGTTGAAAGATAAAACAAGATATTTTCATGCTCGAAGTTTAACCGATTAAGACTCAAAAGTTAGTTGAAAAATTCCAACTATCGGGCTGTCTAAAAATTCCCTTCAGAGTTTTTAGTACATTCGCCCTAAAGGGATTCTTGTTATGGTAGGTAAGGTAACTTAAGTTCAAGGAAAGCAGGGCACTGAAATCAGTCTTGATTAACTAAAAGTTGCTGAGGAATTATGTGGGTTGAAGACGATATTCACATTGTCCTAAGACTACTTTATAAAACCTGATACAACTCGGTACTAGAAATAAAATATGTTACACAAATCTTCATCGCCTGTCGGTTAACATATATCTAGGCACTTTGTTAAAAGCAGGTTGTTTTGTAAAGAGATCAGTCTCAGAGCCTTTGGTCTTATTGGATATGAAGCGGTAGATGAGACCCCAAAATACATAGTTCTGTAGGTCTTCGGCTTTTGATGCTGACCTCGTAAGTTCTGATGGACACATCCAGCTGAGGGCACCTGACCATGCATCTGCATTGGGCCACGAGTTGTCACACCGTGATACATGTCTCCTACAACCATTAGTCAGCTTAGATTAAACGCTGCCCGATATCAGTCTTCAGTCTTCAGTAGTAAGGATAGGAGGTCTATCGACCTATATTAATCCTTGCAGTTTGTAATACTGTGGAGGTCCAACCTCGTCTTGAATATATTAACAGACGGTGCTGATATAACGTGTTCCGGCAGAGAATTCCCGTAATTCACTACTCGGTGCGAGAAACTGAACTCCAGGCGTAAACGGTTTGATCTCGGTTTTTGAATTTTCTTCGAATGTCCTCTCAAATGATCGGTTCTAGGGGGAAGCAAAAGATAAGACATGTTAATACCAAGGTCATCGTTCAGTATACGATAGGCCAATATTAGATCACCCCGTATTCTACGGTAAGATAACGGAAATAAGTTAAGGTGTCTCAGTCTGTCTTCATAAGATAGGCCAGATAGACCTTGTACGATCTTAGTAGCTCGTCTTTGGACTCTTTCTAGCATATTTGCTTCATACTTGAAACAAGGATACGCTGCATGAATCCCATATTATAAATGTGGTAGCACATAAATCGGGTATAGTAATCTAAATATTTCATCATCTAAATACTGGAAAGACCTACGAATCGACCATAATACCCTGTAGCCTTTTGCAGCAGCAGCCTTATAGTGACTAGTGGTTTTGAGATCATTGCTTAATATGACTCCTAAATCTTTATAGTTTCTTACTTTGGGTAGCACGAATCCACATACTGTATAGTGATGCGATTCATCATAGTTACTTAATTGCATCACCACACTCTTGTTAGGATTTACTTTTAGTGACCACCTGTCCAGCCATGTCACCAATGAGGTAAGATCATTCTGTATTACTATCCTATCCGACATACTGTGTATGGGTCTACACATCTTTATGTCATCAGCGAAGAGTAGAACGGAGGATTTTGCTACAGTTGGTAATTCATTTGGATAAAGTAAAAAGAGAAGAGGACCTAGGATTATTCCTTGGGGAACCCCACCTTTTACAGGTACCCACGAGGAGAGAGCCCCATTGACCCTTACCCCTTGTCTCCTGTCATGGAGAAAGTTACTTATCCAATCTACGGCTGTATAATGGATTCCAAAACGTTCCAGTTTGAATTTAAAACCAGAGTGGGAGACTTTATCGAAGGCCTTACTTAGATCTATGAAGATCACATCCACAGGAGCATTTCAATCCTTTGCAGCAGCCCAATCTTCTCGTGCAATGACAAGATTTGTGAAGCAAGATAAGCCTTTCCGAAAACCATGTTGTGCCCTAGAGAAAAGATTTTGCCCTTCAACATAGTTTATAACAGCTATCCGAATGATTTTCTCCTTCAGTTTTACAACTGCACTAGTTAAGCTAACGGGTCTATAGTACGTTTGTTTTCAGTTTTGTAGGAAAAAGGAACAGAAACAGAACTGGCTTGGACTCAAATATTATTTGAATGAAACTTGAATTCGATCGAACAATAGTTTGTATTCGGGTTGTAACAACGTTGGCTTTAGAAAGACCAGTTATCGTATTAAAGTGTGTTACCAGAGTGTTGATATTCTGTTTAACATCAATAATCCAATATAGAATATTTTAGGAACAGTATTGTTACACCCTAAATTCCAAACCGTGGGATGATGGAGATGTGGGTACTTGATAGATTTACTACTCCAAATCAAACAATGTCAAACTCAAATAAATTCCACAACTAAACAGGAATGTACTAATGACGATCGTAAATATGGTTGTATGCCGCAACTCTAGATACAAGTTCACCTGAAACCCTCAATACTAGGATTTCATGAAGGTTAGTAAAAAAGAGTTAACCCCAAAGCAAGAATGAAGCCAAAAGATCAAAGCCGAACGCCTCAACGAACCGAATTTACATGCGTACTTGTGGAAACCCGGTTAACCCAGTCTGAACTACTCTTGTAAGACAAATTTTCGAAATACTGAAAGTAAGGCAACCGGGACTTGTAGTTTATTAAAATAACCTTCAGTCCTGTTGAGCTGGTAATCTAATCTAGACTGAATGGATTTGAAGATGAAGTAAGCTGAAATGATTTTTCTCCTGTAATAGATGTATGCCAATCAATAATGGTCCAAATAGTTAACTTGATAAGATAAACAAACAGGCAGATGGACGAAAACATGTGGAAAGCCTGATGGGTTTGGATTCAGGATTAGTCATCCAAATGTGTAAAACAAATCCGGTGGAATCGGATTTAAAAATTAATCTCTCACTCACTTGGTCTGATAAATCCTCCTGTAGCTATTCTAGGGCTACTGCCGGTCCCATGACCGGGTAAAGGAGAAGGGTTGGACGCGGTATCGGCAACCTCATACCGTACAAGACAACCTTGCTAAGAAAATGCTGAACAGAATAAACAGTTCAAAACATTTAAACTCTATCCTACGAGTCGAAGGAAGAATTATGACTGCAACGACGACAACAAAGATCATTTCTATGAGAGGCTGCAATCAAACACAGAGAAGTGCCCAAGAAAGGATCTCACCATCTTGATGGGAGACCTGAATGTCAAAGTTGGAATGGAAAACCCCGGATATGAAGATATCATGGGATGACATGGAGTGGGGGAGAGAAAGGAGAATAAGGGGAGATTCGCGAACCCAGGTGTACTCAACAAATTGGTTATAGGCGGCACAATATTCACACACAAACGTATGCACAGAGCTATATGAGTCTCTCCGGATCCCACTACACAAAGTGAAGTGGATCACATTTGCACTGGTAGAAAATTCAGAAGGATCATGGAAGATGTAAGAACCAGGAGAAGAGCTGACGTAGCTTCAGATCACCTCCTGGTGGTTGCCAAGATAAAACTGAATCTAAAAAAGCGCTGAAAACCTGGAAAAACAGCGTCACAAAGGTTCAATACAGCCTTCCCTTGAGATACTTACAAACTTAGTGAATTCGAGATAACTCTCAAAAACACGTTTCAAGCCTTACAGGATTTACTGAGAGAAGATGGGACTACAATGGAGGACAACTGGAAAGGGATCAAACAAGCATTAACTTCAAAGTGTCAGGAGGTTCTGGGCCGCAACAAGCATCATCAAAAGGAATGGATTTAAGTTCAGTCAGTGGTAAACAAGTATTGTTGTTTTAGGTGATTCTGAAATAATAGACGAATGTAGCACCAACGGATCCAAGCTGAATTATTGTGTTACTAATTGCGATCCAGAATTATTTGTTCACTAGATGTTAATTCCAATAGTACCCTCTGGAGTTTATTTTGAATACTTTTTTAACTAACAACTACGTGATGGTTTATTCATTTTATCAGTGTAGCACGATAGTACCTAATTTGGGTGACTTTATTATCTGGACTTTGTTCAACGTCTTTTTAGGCAATTGTGATAGCCCAATTCCTAAAGCCAAATACGTATAACAATGACGACCATGACGGGTTTAGTGAAAATGTTAAAGAAGATTCAAATGATTTTTAAATTTTACAGACATAGAGATATAATGTAATGCATGTACAGGCGAGGTTAACATGCTGATTGATGAGGAATATTACAATTAAAAAATAATAAACTTGGCCAAAAATGTTTTGAAAGTGGTTTGTGTGGAATAATTACGGTTAGTCTAAGTGAAAATATATGCATGTTAAGTACAAATAGAGTAAATCATCCAGCAAAATAGTCAAACTCGCCTGGATTATTTTCAGTATTTAGATTATCCGATGGATATGGCGTATAAAAAACGGTTGCGAGAAATGGTACAAACCCAAGAGTCCAGACACATATGTAGCTATCGCTGTATGAACCATCTAAAATTAGATTAACGTTGTAGAAACGTTATAGCTTAAACTCACCGTAAGTTTCTTGGGATGTTACCTTTGTTGTTTGGCGATGGAACTCGAAAATTGTGAATTAACCAGGAAGTGATCAGAAGAAAAGGATAGTCCATGGTTTGAAAAAGAGTAAAACGTTAGAAAAAACAA